AAATAGTCGCTGGAGGGGTCTGAAAAGTCGCTAAATATAGCGACAAAGTCGCTGAGTTGGCAACACTGCGCACCTGCAGCGCTGGCTCGCTCTGCCATAATTTTTTTTCTTTGCCCGTTTCAGTCAAGCGGCAGTGATGACAGCGGCGGCGGATGACGCATTAATCGCGCGACACAGCTAATCGATGATGAAATTTGTTGCCAATGCTTTTAAAAGTCGATTTTTATTGATTTTATCGATTCGTTGTTGCAGCCCTAAATGAATCCCTCAATATCTTAAAAAACCAACTAGTCAACTTATCCACACTATATCAGTGTAGCATAGTTAGCGCTTTTGTTGCTAAATTTAGACCCTTCTGGCGCCTTTATTTTAAAGAAGTGACTAGCACCAAATCTATGATCTTCTTTATGTGATAATGGAGACTTTGGCGAGACAACAGCACTGAACGCCGTCTTTCCCAGAGCAAGTCGATCTTAACCCTGCCTCCCGCTCTCTCTATCACTGTCTGCTGTCATCCTGCAGAGCAGGCTGCCTGTATTCTGCAGCAGAGAGTAAATGTTTCCACCTTAAATCCAGATTGATGAAATGCGCATGTGGAAAGCTGCAGCTAATTCGGTCAAAAAATTAAATGGAAATCATGAAAATATTAACAGATCATCAGTTGTCTCACTTAGATAAAACAACTGCCTCATTCTCTCCCTTTCTTCTCTTTACACTTAAGACTTAGAAAAACGGTAATTTTATACCCACACGGTGTATTCAAAACGAATTATATATTATATAGCATTATATATGACTCCACAAATTCCCAAAGTAGGAATTAAAAAAATGTACTCTCTAAAAGAGCAAATAAATGTGCAAAAATGTCCAAAAAGCTCTTCTATGAACAGTGATTTGAAAGGGGAGCTGTATTTATCATTGCATGCACCATTCTTAGGTAAGAGCAACCAAAAATAAGAAAAGTTACCTTATTTGCTTAAGTTCTTGAGCAGCTTTCAAGATTATTTCGTGCTGCCGTTGAGAAAGGGCCAGCACATTTGCAGAGTTTGTTCCTTGGGCAGCCGTTTCAGCTAAGCTTGAAGGCAAGTCTGTTGTAGATGCTGCAGATGGTGGCTCCTCCTTCCGTTCATCATACTGAGGTCTAGGATCATCATAGTCTGGGTACCCCCTCACTGGTAAGGGAGAACGTCTAGAAGGCCTATCCCAGTCTGAAGCCCGCAGGTGAGGGGGTTCATCCAGCCTGTATGGGGGCTCACCTCTATATTCAAGAATTCTGAGCTCCCCCCTTGCCCTGTCATTTTCATCATATGGATATGAGTGACGTCTCTCCATTTCCTGTTTCCAGTGCTCCTCCCTAAGGTGCTGCTCTCTGAGGTGCTCTTCTCTGAGGTGCTCTTCTCTGAGGTGCTCCTCCCTGAGGTGCTCCTCCCTGAGGTGTGCTGGGGGCGGCATGCGGGGAGGATACTCTCTTTCAGACAGTGCATCTCTGTCCCACTCTGACCTCAAGTATTTGGCTTCATGATGATATTCATCTGATGGAAAGTCCTGGACTGGACGCCGGGGATACCCATCCTCACCATGATTGTAATCCACAGCATACTCCTTACTATACTCTTCATACCTCTCGGGTTCCTGACCTGGGCGCCACATTCCCCTTGCCATTCCCCGACCCATAGGTCGTCTTCTTATTCCTCCCCTATCAATTATTTCATGTGGAGGCATCGGAGGGTCTCTTTCATGTGGAGGATACCACTCAGAGCTTTCCTCCCCTCCATCATACAAAGGCTCCTCCAAACGATCCAACAGTTCATGAGGAGGTGGGGGTATACGTCCACCTCTTCCTACATGAGGATGGCTGTATCGGTCATGCTCATCGTACATAGGGTACATTGTTAGTTCTTCACCGGCATCATCTAAGCCCATTTCACGACCCACAGACTCATGAGCCATCTCACCGTGAACAGAGTGAATTGGACCGCCTCGACCTCGTGGCATAAAAGCAGGGTGTCCACGTGGGGGTCGACCCCGACCAGGCGGAAATGGGGGTCTCATGCCTCGCATTTGAGGCTGCCATTCTTCCCAGTAAGGGTTCCCTTCTTCAGAATACTCAGCTGACTCAGCCTCTGTCCAATCTATATCATTTGAGTCACCTCTGCCCATGGGTGGTCCACCTCTACCCATGGGAGGCCCACCACGACCCATGGGAGGCCCACCTCTAATGCCCATGGGTGGCCTTCCTCTAATGCCCATGGGTGGCCTTCCTCTAATGCCCATGGGTGGTCTTCCTCTAATGCCCATGGGTGGTCTTCCCCTAATGCCCATGGGTGGTCCTCCCCTAATGCCCATGGGTGGTCCTCCCCTAATGCCCATTGAAGGAAATCCTCGACCCATGGGTGGACCTCCTCTTCCTATAGGTGGGCCCATTCCAAGCAGGGGAGCCCTCCTTCCCATTGGTGGACCTCCTCTTCCTCCAATAGGCCCTCCTCTCATAGGTGGTCTGCCTCTTCCCATATGTGGTGCCATAGGCTCCTCATAATACTCTTCCTCTTCAAAATAATGTTCCTCTGGCATCCATGTTTCCTCAGAGGCCATCTCAGATTCATCTCCCCCAAACCCTGAATTTGAGGGATCTTGCCAGTAGTCTTGTTTGTCTTCAGGTATTTCTGCATCTTCTTCCGGTGGCATATAATCATAGGCCATTTCTGCCATCTCCTCTCCAGTTTGTGGAGTATTATGTTCCCTAAACTGGCTAGGGCCCAACTGTCCTCTCCCTAGACCACGCAATGGAGGCTGACCCCGTCCCCTTCCAGAAGGAGGATTGGGAAGCTTTGGTTTTGGTGGCAACTCAATAGGACTCTGTAGTTCTGTTTGGATTTCTGGAGTCTTTTTAATTAATGGTGTTTTGTTGTTTGTCAGTTGTCCATCGTCTTTTTTTGTGTTTTGTGGTAGTGGTAGAGGTTTTGATAATGACATTGAAGTTTTAGTTTCAGTTCCAGGTTTGTCTTTATTGCCACCATCAGTGGCACTTTTGTCATTTGCTTTCGTAGGCTCTGTGTCATGTAATGTCTGGGGAATAGGGGCATCTGGAATAAAAAAGCCTTCTCCTCCAAGCAAGCTATCATCTGTCAAGTCTTCAGCCCCACCTTTATTTGGAACATCTTTCTCTTTGTTAGGAGACTTTGGTTGTGCAAGTGGTTTAGATGGAGTTGTTGAAACTGTACTGGCAGAACCCTGAATTTCCTTCTCCAAATTTTGTTCAGGATCTTTCTGTGTTTTTTGCAGAGATGGGGAAGGAGATTCAAAACGCGATGGTGGGCCAATGGGTCTTGTGGGTTCCAATCTAGATTGTTGTCCAAACTGAGGGTGGTCATGTCTAGGGGGATTATCAAAGGGCTGTCGCGGTTGGTCAAATCTTGGGGGACCTTCAAACCGCTGCTGTGGTTGGTCAAACCTTGAGGGACCATCAAAACGTTGCCGTGGTTGGTCAAACCTTGGGGGACCTTCAAAACGTTGCCGTGGTTGGTCAAACCTTGGGGGACCTTCAAAACGCTGCCGTGGTTGGTCAAATCTTGGGGGACCATCAAAACGCTGCCGTGGTTGATCAAACCTTGGGGGACCATCGAAACGCTGATGTGACTGGTCGGACATAGGGGGCTCATTAAAGCTTGGTGGTGGCTGGTCAAATCTGCTGCGCCTGGAATGATGTTGAAAATGAAATGGGACAAATTGAGTTTAACAAGAAATACTGATTTCAAAAAGACCAAATGGTTGATCAAACCTTGGTGGACCATCGAAACGCTGATGTGACTGGTCGGACATAGGGGGCTCATTAAAGCTTGGTGGTGGCTGGTCAAATCTGCTGCGCCTGGAATGATGTTGAAAATGAAATGGGACAAATTGAGTTTAACAAGAAATACTGATTTCAAAAAGACCAAATGGTTGGTCAAACCTTGGGGGTCCATCGAAACGCTGATGTGACTGGTTGGACATAGGGGGCTCATTAAAGCCTGGTGGTGGCTGGTCAAATCTGCTGTTCCTGGAATTATGTTGAAAATGAAAAGGGACAATTGAGTTGAACAAGAAATACTGATTTCAAAAAGACCAAATGAAATTAAGTAACCTTTTTTTTGTTGCATTTTTTCAAACATCCACCACACATTAAATATTAGTAGAACATAGGGAATAACAAAAGAAACAACTAACCGTTGACTCGTTACACTGTTGAAACTTGAAGACTGTGTTGTCAAGGGACCAGGGGGCATGTCTCCTGCCCCAGCAGATAGAGTTCCTTGCATAGGAGGTCCATCAGATGATTCTGAATGTGCCATAAAAGGAGGAGGTTGTTGTCCTAGAGATAAAGCCCCAGCAGCACTTTGAGCCATGGAGCTAGCAACAACTGTAGCTGTGGTTCCAACAGCACCTGGTGCGGTGGCACCAACAGCAACTGTAGGAGGTGGGATACTGGGGTTTGGGATGTGCATCTCCTGGCCAGGGTAATGGCCAAATTGTCCCATCATAGCACCAAATGGGACCATGGCAGAAAAAGCCACCACCCTTTCTTGAAGATGGACATAGGTAGCATTCATCTGCTCTTGCCACTGCTTCCACTGGAGCTCATATTCCTGCAATTGATCTTTGTGAGGATAAGACTGGAACTGTTCGTGCCACAAAGCAAAGGAAGTAGTCCAGTTTTGAAATAAAGACATGAACTGCTGCTTTTGCATTTCATAATGCCTCAGCTGCATTTCAGCAGTCATTGTCTGTAAAGGAAAAAGACAATGCTAGTGACATTATGTAGTGTATAGTAATAAAAGAGCAAAAGCTCTAAACCTTATCTTTGAATTTGTTATGTCTTTACCTACCTGGAGGTTTGGGGGCTGTTGAATGAGCCGTTGATATTGTTCAAGAACCTGCTGAAGTTTTTCATGCTGCTGCATGAGAGCCTGGTACTGTAAACTAACTCTCTGATGTTGTACTTGCTGCCATTGTGCTGCTGCAGCCTGTAATTCCTGGAGACGAGCAGATTCTTCTGGGTCTTTTGGGGCATCAGGCTTCAAATAGAAACAAGCCAAAAAGATTAGGGACAAATGACTATTTTTGTATCCTGTATAGTTATGATGTGGTTGTAGAGTTCAGACTGCAATTTTTAAATATTTCAATATTAAATCAAAGCATCATTGAGATTCTACATAAAAAAAAATAAATAGCTTAAACACTGCTAGATCTTTTTAACGACAGTACTGGAAAACTTTACTTTGATGGGTGCAGTCCGGCAATATCACAATGTAAAAGAGGGAAAATTAAAAAAGGCTGGATTGATTTATGAAGTAGGGTTGGGTATTTTTAAGGAGTAGTTGGTCACATAACCTAAATATGAGCAACGTAATGCATTTAGGTATCTTAAACATGTGTTGCCCCTCAGGCTACATTCACACTACAGGACTGCCCAACTCTGATTTTTTGCAGGATTTCAAGTTATTTTCTTGCATGGCCTTTCATACTACTAATTAAATACTACCACCATCAGAAGTCTATCTGAACAGTTCAGGACACCCAGGTGACCTTCGCGACGAAAAATGCAGACATCATAAAGCAGCGCAGCTTAGGGAAGTAATAATAAAGGTGACTTGAGGCCCCCACATACTCACACAGACATGTGAGGGGACTGCTTCTGATGAGTATGACTTATAATACACTGTTTTGAGAGAAGGTACTTCTCAACAGAGACGAGTGTTGATACCGAACTGTTTAAAATTCAACACTGAACTGACAAGGCTCCTCGGGCGATAGCTGGAAGCAACACACTGCTCAGAGCAGTCAGTCATAAGGACCCGCAACATAACTGCTCTGGTGAAGAAAATATGGCACAATTTGGCCAACTAGACTTTTTTTCTATAACTTTTGAAAAGGTAGAAGGCATACTTGTCTGATGACTCCATAGCAGTTTATGAAATCAAGTATGTGCAGGCCTTTAAGCTGGTTCTATGCTTGATGAAATGAATGCTGCAAGAGGATGGGTGTGCCAACAGTGATGGCCCCTACCACTGTGCTAGGGCCCCCATGCACTGACAACATATGGTTATGCATATGAAGACTTTTCAAAATACACAATAAATCGATTATTGGGATGATAAAGATTGTTTTCCTCATATTTCCGACTTTTTCTACTATAGGTTAAGGTTAATTTAGGTACATCAGCCTGAGCCCACAAAACCCTTTATAGTTTCATTAGCGTAGCATGGGAGGTTTCTGACTGAGGCGTAGCAAGCCAGAGTAATCCTAGTTGAGATTTGGAACAACAACAAATGGAGTTTGTTTCAAAGCCAAACATGACAGGTGCAGTGTGGGGGCATTTTTGGATTCAAATCGAATGAAAATATCAGTTGTCGGAATAATTTCTGTTATCATAGAGCAACGTCCAACCTCCAAAGCTTTGTAACTAGGATTGTATGCTATCTGCAATTTTCAGAATGAACAAGATGCAAACTTTCCACACACAAGTTGTCACTTCAAGAACAGCGGGAAGAGAGTAACAGCAAAGGGGAAAAAAATAAATAAAAAACAAAGAGCAAAACGATGGCAAGAGAAGTATATATGCGAGCTGAAAAAAATATATGGAAGTCACAGCCAGAAATTCTTTACAAAAGAGGTCAAAAGGTGAGTTTCTCTTCATGGTTTTACCCTTTAAGGCTGAAAATTTAGGAGAAACAAGCCAATTAAGTTGATAAAAAACAAAGTATTCAATTGGGAACAGATATTTTTCATGTATGTGAAGTGCTTCTTCTTTCCAATACATTTCAATACAGATGCTTTGAGAACTATTGGATACATATCGAAATGTAGAACCATTAAAGTGGCTCCAGTTTCTTTTTTTAGGAGGAGAAAAAGTTGGAATTGGGCCATTCAGAGGTGAAACAAAGTCAAATATGAGTCTGATATTGGCAAAAAGATAGGATTAGTTTTTTCCTGCTGTGTGAACGTAGCCAAAGTGAAAACATCATATGGGCATTTCATGTTTTGGATAAGGGCTTTTTTAAACTTGCAGAGTTTGCTAAAAATCCCAGGCAAAACAATGCTTTCCAACTTTAAAAACTAGGTTAAAGAAGCACTGATCAGCAGTTATCACAGCAGAGGATGGTTCATCCTCTCTGAAAATATAAAAAACACAAAGTTTTTCAACTAGGCACATCTTCCCTGATGTGCCTAGTTGAACAAAGTCACACCAATGTGATCTAATGTGTGATGGGAAACTTAATAGATGAGATTAATAGATTAATAGATTGTCATGCTGGCTTAATTGTTTGAAACATCTGTGTTACTACTGATAAAATACGATGCTTTTTTTAAAATCAGAAATTTGAGATACGTTCGGTACTTTGCAGATGCCCGAGGACTTGCAAATGTATATCATTTAATTGGTAAAAGCATTATTTTCCAGATAGTTTCCAGGTCATTTAAGCCATTACAACAAAAAAAATGCAGCACAAGGTTGCTGTTATAGAGCCTTATAGGTCATAAAAACAAAACAAAAAACATGCAAGACATTATTTTTTAACAGAATTAATTATCACCATCTACTGATTACAAAAAATTTCCTAGATAATATCACAATAGTTTGCATAGCTGTGGTCTAAGTACCAATGCGTATCACACAAATATATATATATATATATATATATGGAAAAATCCAACCCTACACAGAACATGGCAGGGATCACAAGAACTGAGGTAATATATGAATAATGGGCATAAAAATGACAGAAAATTGGTGATAAGACTTACTGTGTCTGTTAGTTTAGATGAGTTTCCTACATTTGCATTCTGTAAAATTATGCAAACAATATATAACATTTAAACTGTATGACATTTACAATTTTCTGAAAAACAACCTGGAATGTTTGAATGCAGTTGAGTAAAATACATCTCAAACACCTTTGTTTTATCTTTTTTTAAATCAGTAAACAAGAAAAATCTGGATTTAATGAGGATCAAAGACACATTGGAAAATTACCAAAAGATAAAATTTTCAAAATATGGCATCACTGGATGAAGACACTTGTGCAAATTCTAGTGCATTTACATCACATTTTATTGAATTGCATTAACAGAGATAAAGAGAAACAATATAACAAACAACACCAACAGGGCCTTATGTAACACCTAACAGGCAGCTAATCAAAGGGGGGCTCACAAATGGAAATAAACATAAAGACCAATATAATTTTAGGAAAACTTACCGTTACTTCTGTCGGAGGTAAAGGAGGCACAGGAGGTTCCTCTTTTGGAGGTGGTGGTGGAGGTGTGCCTTTGGGGGGTTCTAATGGAGGAGGAGGAGGAGCTGCCTGACTTGAAGGTGGCGGCGGTGGTAGAAAGGCATTGTCCTCTTTCTGATTTAGTTTGGCTTTTTCTTGCCTCAGTTTCTGTAAATTCTGAAGATGCTGTTGGTACCACACATTTTGTTGCTCCTGATAGAAACAAGAGCATCATAAATTAAACGTTTGTGAGGATTTTCATTTTTATGACAGTAAAAGAATGAATTTGACAAATTGCTTTTAGAATATTTAAACACATTAGACTAATAAATCAATTATGTTAAGATCCTTTTTTTATTTTAACTCTTAAATATCGTTTTAATCTGACCAAAAGTCATTTTACTCCCGAGTAGACTAAGATCATGCACTAGGCAGCATGAGAAAATCAACTTTGGCAACCATTACCGAGATTTCTATGATCAATATATATGCAATTTTTTAAACAAGTAAAAGCAAATAGAAAAAAGAAAACAACTAATTATAGCCTATAAAGGATCCAGATTTGTTTAAAATATTTCTCATATATCCATAACTTATGTTAGGTGAAAAACTAGCCTTGACATGTATGCATAAGCGGAGTACTTACATGTAAAAATGCTTGTGTAAAATGTTTGCCCTAATAAGAAAAAAAATCTTACTCACTTTACCAGTCATGTGAAGTAAAGTTGTGGTTTAAAAGAATAAAGTATAGAGCAGGACAAAAATGCATATTTGAGGATATTGCTGTCTGAACATGTGCATGGGTAAAACCAGTGTTTGGACGAAAATACACCAAAACTGTCCTTCATTTTGGATTTTTTTTATTGCTGCAAATAACTTTTCCAGTGTTGAAATTTTACATTTCATAACCTTTTTTATTTGAAAATAAGTGGAACCAAAATGGAAAGTAACGCCTTATTTGGGATTTTCTACTTTCTCTTTCCTAATTCAAACATAATTCGTATCTTTCTATTTTGAGCAAGAAAAAATAAAGTTACTTTAGGTCATTACCTGTAAAGGTAGGGAGTTGTTATTAGTGCTGGACTGGCTTGTGGTCCCCACCTCTGGAGCTTGGGGAGCACCGATGTTCTCTTGGGGCTTCAGCGATTCTGGAGGAGGTGGGGCTGGTTTGGACTCGGCCTGCTGCGGTAGCATCGGAGGGGGCTGATGCTGAGCCTGTTGCGCTTCTACGTGGCCCGGTCCTTCGGATTGCCATTGCGGGCCCGAGTTAAAACCACCCGGAATTCCACCCCCAAATCCCGGCGCGCTGTTACCGTGGTGTAAAACGGATTGCAGCTGTTTCTGGTGCAGCATCTGGAGCTGCTGCATCTGTTGGCGATGCTGCTCCTCCAGGCTGGAGAACACCGAGCCGCCTGACGAGGCCTCGAAGCCGCCGAACCCACCGGGAGCTTGACCTGTTCCTACTAGAGGTTTACGAGGACCAGGTCCTCCGTAGCTTTGCGGCGGAGGGGCCCCGTAATTACCCCAAGAGGGATACATTTTATAAAATAAAAGCACAGGGGGCCACCGTAATTACATATAGAAGGGCCCAGAGCAGCTAACAAAGCTACCAGCTAACGTCTACCTCCGCTCTTAAAAGGAAAACAGCTTACATTATCAGTTCATATTCCAAACAGTTCAGTTATAAATCCCAAAAATGTTATCGCTTGCAGTACTTGTTTAACTTTGACCAAAGAGTGTCACAGAAAAGCCAATTTGTGTCCTATTCTTATTCTTTTGAGCGATATTTTATGGCGCTGAATGGCCGACAACTTGAGAGCACGCAGCTGAAAACGGAAGTACGTCATACATTAAATGAACGTTTCCTGCATAGGCAGCAAGGCCGACGTGCTTAGAGGGCGGCCATCTTGGATCGGACCACAGTTCAGACAGCTGCTGTCAAAATGAATAGGAAGCGTCTCATTTTAATCACATGAAAGACTAGTCAGTTAGATTACACATATTTATTTAGATTAAAATCTATTTAAACTTAACTCAAACTGGAAGAGATATTTGTAAAGTTATCAATTAAATATTAATATGATAAATACAAAGTTTATATTAATATATTGCAAGATTATGTTTTACAAATATTATATAATTATATAGTTTATTATCATTATGGACTATTTTTTACAGGATTGCTCTTTGATAATGAGTATAATGATCTATAGAGTAAAATCTCTTGTAATGTGATTTACAAAAGAGAGCAAAGTTATTATTTTGTTTTTTTTAGAGTAATTTTATGTGATTTTTTATTTATTTTTTGTCATTGTCAAGACTTTTTTCTCAAATCGTAGTGAATGATAAATTTATGTTGAGTCTAACTAAGGCTTTTTGCCTTCATTAACTGATTAAAAAATAAATGTTCACATATGCATAAATAATGATACAAATGTCTGCCCTCTAGGACAGGTCCCATGTGGCGTCTACTTGTCTCTCCTCTGTCTATCTCTGTTCTGCATGGTTCCTGACTCCAGGACGTCTTCACCACTTTACTGTGATCAACGTTGGTTTCCGGCTCAGGGCCCAAATGACCGTTTCCTCCATCAAGACACCATAATGACTTTATTTGTTGCTCAGAAACGCCTTTAAAACAGTAATTATGTTATTTGAAGCTTCTGAATCCCGAAACAACAGTTTATTTCTTTTAAAACCATCCAGTTATCCAGTCAGTTGGCATGACGCAAAAAAACAAAACAAAAAAAAATGATAAAGAATTTTTTTTTTTATTTTGGAAAATACACTGTTTGACGTTAAGGGAAACTGTAAAATTATCTCAAAGAAATCACAATAGATATAGCTATTTATTTGACCTAATTATTATTGTGGCACAGTTTGTTATATGTAAATGCAAGTTAAAAGGTACTAAATCGGGTTTTACTAGTTTTAAAAATCAAACCGAACAATACATCAATTCCATACCATTTTTGGAAAACAAAGAAACAATTAAAACCCAAGAAATAATGTAATGTACTTATAATAATAATTGAATAATTGAACTATATTCCTCTTACATTGGAAAAATTCACTATCTGCATTTAACCCATTCCCTTGGGGAGCAGTGGGCTGCCATTGTGCGGCGCCCGGGGAGTAGTGTGGGGTTAAGGGTCTTGCTCAGGGACCCAGAATGCAGGCTGTGAGGATTGAACTGGCTACTTGCAACCTTCTCAGAGCAAGTGCACTGCTCTAACCACTAGGCCAACACTCCCACACTTTAGATAGCAACCCCCATTGTCTGAATGTATGACTTTACTTGACTTTTATATTTATTTTGTGTTTCTTTAGTTTATACAGAATGAAAAAATCCCAGCATGTAGGCTACCATCTAATATATATTCTTCTTTATTGCCTCTTTTCATGTGACGCTTTTGGAGAAGCAAACACAATATATTTTAAAAGACCTTTAAATGAACAAACTCTCTTAACTAATATATGTTACATATTATATGTTAGACCAGTATCACTACTGTACACAGATAACTCTAACCTTTAGGTTAGCTGTAGGTGTCTTCAATGGTGCATTTATAGTTTAACTTCTTTAAATCTACAGAGCATGCATTCTAAAATTCTATCACTAGATGGAGGCATTTGCATAGATATCTCAAATGTGATATGGTTATATCTAAAATCAAAACCACCGTAGTTGAGTTATAATAAGTATAACAACAGAAACCAAACATTAGAACATTGCATCATATTTACATTTTCAATGTAATTGAAATCCAAGCATTTGGTCAGAACATTACTGATGGACTTTGCGATGATCTTTAGTGATCACAAGAATTTCAATTCCTGCTGAAAGTATGCTACTCTCACAACAGGCTTGGGAAATGCATAGAGGGGAACCTGCCTATTGTTTCTGTTGCTATTATACATTTATTTCCCTGGCTAATTATCATTGTTTGATCCATCCAGCCAGTACAGTAAAAATTTTCTGTATGGTTATTTTATGTACGGTATATATCTTTGGGACCAGACTGATCTTAAACATCAAACTGCAGTATTGTTCAACGGATTTTAAATTACGCAATACCATAAAATACACAACTCTGAATTGCGTCTCAAATTTGCACAGGTTGTAAATGCTGTAATGTATTTTTTAAACTACAAATAAACTCAATGAAATTGTAAGTAGCAAATACAAGTCTCAAATTGTCTTGGATAAAGTTTAAGTCTACAAAAACATTTGTTTATCAAAGAGTCAGAATAGTGGGGGTAAAAGACCACTGACTTTAGGTTGCCCTTGAGGCCTGATACACATTAAATAATTTCCCTTAACATCACCAGTAAATCCGTTTTAATTTTGACCAGAACCACTTTAAAAGAACCGTTAAAGCGGATTAATCAAGCCGGTCCTGTTTAATGTCTCCCGTTAATTAGTTTGTCAGCAGTGTTTTAATATCTTCTAATGACTTCATATTTCACCAGTGACATTCAAGGGGTGTTAACAGAAGAGAAATAGTCCATTCAGGCCTCAGTTCTTTCACTTAAAGCGCCCTCGGTGAATAAGACAAGGTCAGGGAGGCCTAGCCTTTAGGGAGAGATAGATTATCATGGGAAGGGGGAGGGCGAAATCCCATAGAGGAAGCTTTCACCTCTCTAAAACAGCATGACAGGCACAATGTGATACAGTTAGAACAATACACTGCACAGGATCCATGATACAGCTTAAGTCAGCCTCACTGTATGGGATGCAGGATAACTTCACAGTATAGAATAATACTGAGACTTGGGATTTATGCTTTCTTAATTAAATCATTGAAGACTGGTTATTTTTACTGCTTTAGTATCTGTTGCAGCAACAGTAACATGCCTTGGATGTTGGGGGCTTTTGATCACAATCAGCATTTTCTAAAAGCCTTCTGGGCAAGAGTAAAGAAATCAGGAATCGTAAAGTTGTGGCTCACAATATTGAGGACGCTGCGTTTCCTCTGTGATGAAAATCCTATGTTAAACAAAATGCTCAATGGAGGCTAATAGATCCCAAACAAGTCTATGCACTGCTTCTAAAATGCTTTGTTTGGCAAATCAATTTTCCCATAACCCAGTGAGAAGAAAAGTGACGCGGATTGATCGACCCTCCCCCCCACTTTGTTTCCAGAATATTGTTTGATGGCTGGATAGATTAATTGGTATGACATTTCAAAGCCTTCTCTTGGCTGTCAGCATCTAAGCCTCAGCATGGCAATCGAACATCAGTCTAATTGTCTCCTATGTAATACCTCAACTCTCAAATTAGAGATGGTACCTCTATGAACTATTCCTTAAATAAAAGCTTAGAAAATCACTCTGCTTAATCAGAAGTGGGTTTGCCGAGGGGTGATGAAGAGCTGATAGGCAGGGTGCATTAAAGGACATCTCCAAAACTGCTTTGCCAGCACATTTACCACTCTTCACCCTAGATCTGAAATATACAAATCAGATCAAGGTTGTTCTCTATAGGGTGTTGTAGTTCTAATGTGAATCTGTGTTAGAAATAATTTACATCACTAAAGCCACAGTGAGCATGTAAAGGAAAACACAGCACTAAAATCAGTACTCAATAACTGTTTTTTGTTCTGCTGGAGTGTGTTATGAACATGCCAGCTTAATTTTCTCCACTGTGGCTTTAACTCAAAATGATTGTTAAGCTTTAAAAATGAATGGGATTATTGTAACTCATTATGCATTGTTTTTTTTAAGATATCCAGAATGATAACTCAACAAGTAAAGGGCAATAGAGAGTTATAAGGTTAAAAATTAAGTTTTCCCTTCTTAGCTATCCAGAAATAAATTAGACAATTTAAACCGTTTGGTTTCTTTATATTGCTGTGATGGGTAGGAAAAGTTCTGCAACTAAAATGTGCTTTTTTTTTTTAACGGAGGAAAATGAAACAAACAAAAAAAAAAATCGACTTGCAATGCTACATTTTTAAGATGCTTTATTGTGGTGATGGTGGTATTCTCTTTCCATCTAGAAATGTGAATTTAGAAACCATTGACATTTACCATTAAAAACTCTGGCAAAAAAATCTTTTCTGTTTTTTATACAATGTTCTATGTAGATTAAAAATGCTCTATTCCTCATTTGCATATGCTGGTGTTAACCTCTTATGTGTATGATAATCAGATACCAAAATGCTTAAGAAAAATTTATCATCAAATTTATTGAAATTTTATACTTTTGGTGGACTTTATGATACGTTTAAATCTGGGCTCAGTCTCCACATTGCTGGGGGCAGCTTATGTAATGGAAAATGAGTCACTTGGTAGACTGCGCCCTCACTGAAGCAGCAAAAAGTTTGTTTCCATTTATTCATTTTCACAGGGACAATGTATGAACTCATTGATCTTTATAAAAGAAAAATGCTTTACACCAGATTTAGCTGTGGCCAGCTCACAAGAATACAATACCTATATAATTCATCATCACACAACTATTTGATCTATGTAAAGCCATTTATACAACATAATTCAAAATAATTGCAAAGATAAATATTACAAATGATCATAGTTATTGTTTCCCAGCAGTTATTTTCTACTGTTCTACCAGGTTATTTTATAATACTTATTGTTCAATTCTTTGTTGGATCTAAAGGAAAATATTCTACAGTCATTATGTGCTTGGAGCTTGATGTTCTAATGGTCTGCAAGAGCAAAGCTGAAAAAATCTATTGTATTTGTGTTTTTTTATTTATTTTGAGCAAATAGCTGTCCATCTAAATATATAAATTAATTATAAAATAATTGTCTACACTATATTTACTAAGGATCTGGTTTCTTATTAATAAACCTGTGAACACTGCCAAGGGTTG